GTAAGATTTTCATGTAGAAATTAGTTGAGCATTATTGCGGAATTAAGGGATTTATTGTTACTACGGTAACAGTACCCTTAGCCCATGGCGAAAAAAATATTCAGGTCATGTGAAAAATTCTGCACAGCCAATAAGGATGCGCAAATGTTTGATCAGCCAAAACAAATCAGGCACAAGAAAATGAAAAATACGAAAAATGCAAAAAATACGGGAACAGATGCTCAAATCTAGCTTGGAGCACAATCAAAATGTCAGGAAGGCAATTTTACATATAACCTTTACTCCTCAGATTCTAACCTAATGATAAAAGTTGACCTTTATTGCCGTCGTGTGCTAGTTGCTATGTTTTCTTTCTAAAATGGCAAGTTTTGCAAATTTTGGGTGCCGTCTGCCAAGTACAGAGCATCAAATACTGCATGAATCGTCACTTTAGTATGTAATACACGCATTTTGACATCCAATGACCCAATTTGAACGGAAATACCACTATTTGATTTATCTAGATTCGACAAATCGGATCACTGGACGTTGAGATACATGTATTATGTCCTAAAGTGATCGATTTATTATATTTGGAGTATGAAAGTTTATGATATCAATGATTAGCGTTTGTGCTCGGAAAATTTCAGAGCATTACATATAATTTTCAGAGGTCAGTTACTTATGACCGGGATTGTAACAACCCTAATGCTAGTCTAGTTGATTATATATTTAGGATAGTTTGTTGAAAGTAACGTATCAATTTAGATAATGTCTTTATTGAAATAAACTTTAGCAAGTATGCAAACAAAATTCTACAGATATAAAATATTCATTTCCATATTTGTATATAATAATATATTTTCATACGCGACAAAATTTGTATAGCTCTTATTAATAGCAAAGCTAAAACAATAAGCTATTGTGTTTATAAAAAATAAAAACCCAACCATAAATTTAATATTAATCAATGTCATTGCGAATGCAAAAAAACAATGCCTTACAATGTCGAATATTCAATGTTTTTATACATCTAAAACAATAAAGATGTGCTAAAGAATAATAAGCCGCTCGTTTCTCCACCTTGTAGAAATGTCCGATAAGATATTATCTATATATGTGGATTATTAGACACCGCTTTTTGGAATCCTTCAATGCTTTTGATTTTAAATGTTCCACGAATCAATTTTGTGTGTTTTGATTTGTTTAATACATGTACTTGAACATCTGATATGTACATAGCATGCACATGTACGTACTTGCTGAACTGTGTTATTTGTATTACGCACATCGATATTCGAATGATGCATGTACTCACGAGGTCAATGTTGAAAGCATGTAATTGGTACTACTCTGTACAACCAAACAGCACTAAAAATAAAATAACGATAAGGAAAACTTACATTGTATTGTCCCTTATTTTTTTTCAATGGAAATAGGAGATACATATAAAGTGAATAAAAAAATTCTAAATTACGAAAAAGCTGTGAAAGTATTCTTCACTGACATTGAAAAAGGAGACCTTTACGATAATACTGAATATGTCATAAAATTTCTTAAGACGACCGGTTCAGAAGAATCCGAAATGATCGAATACCTATCAAAGCATCGAAATTCTCAAACCCAAGTGATCCTTGGTGCAATTTATTTAAAAGTGGACGAGGCAAGAAATGCATTTCAAGAATTCGAGAAAGCGGCCTTAATGAATAATCCTCATGGCCAATACTTCCTAGGACATTGTTATGAAATTGGAATTGGTACATATGAGAACGACGAAACCGCTGTGTATTGGAAGAGAAAAGCAGCAAATCAAGGAATTCCAGCTGTTTGTTATTTTTTAGGATATCATTACGAAAATGGAGAGGGTGTGAAAATGAACAAAAGAAATTCTTTTAATTTATTTCGAAAGGCGTTTGAAAGTGGATATAATTCTGCTTCTTTCGAACTTGCCATTACGCATCATGAAGGCTCTGGCACTTTTCATGATATTCATGAGGCCATATATTGGTATAGGAAAAGTATAAAGGCAGGAGAATTAGATGCATACGATTATTTAGAGAACTTATTTACGCAGATATATTGGTGAAAATAAGGTAATATTTTCATTAATATTGACTAAACAAAATATTACTTTCTAAAATGTATCAAACTTTCAAACATGCATATTCAAAGAAATCTATCCAAATAATTATTTGTTTAAATGTAAAATATAGTATAATTAATGTTTCTAGTCAGATTTCTCAAAACAGTAAAAGAGCTTTACTTTGATATTTATATCGATTCACATTATTAAAATCTTTTACATTAATAGAAATGGAAAATTTAAATCACAACACCAATAGAACCGCGCGCAGTTCTTATCAGCGATAAAAACTGAAAATTCTAACAATCAGCATATGCAATATTTTAGGCATATGTTTTATTAGCATCAACAAACAACGTATCAAAAAATTATGCTGCGTACACACATAATTATTAAAAATAATCAAATACGTTTTATCTATACTAATAATAGATTACGTTTTAAAGCTTATGTACAATGAAGCAAGCGATAATGACGCATATACAGCCCGCACGGAAAGTAATAGCGGAAAAAAATTTACTATGCACATGTAATTTGAAGGAGTCTGGTGTGAAAAAATACATAGTACCAGTCTTTGAAAGCTGTAATACTGTATATCGATCTATGCTCGAGATAGAGTTTCGGGATTGTGACGCAATTACACGAGTCAATGAGTCTTGCCGGTTATGAAAAATGTCAGCTTAAAGAATTGTATTAAATCTATATATTATTTTATAAAATAAACATCGTGAAGAACAAATTTAAATAACATTACTAGTAATAGTACTTATATTTTATATGTCGAATGGCGTTGAAATGTTGATTTTTTATGAGCGTGATATCCTACTCAAGGGAATGGAATTTTTTTGTGTCATTGTTCTCTAAAAATTGCTCTTTCTTTAAAAAAACAGACGTCATTACTTTCCGTGCGGACTATAACAAGCAACTGGCAATCGGCTGCTTTCGGTACCAATAAACTGCTATATTGTAGTCTTTAGGTAACTAATCCTTCGAACATGGTTATATCCAAGGAGGTATTGTCCATACGGAAAATAGTGACTATGGTGCATAAAATCTAAAGTCATTAAACGTTTGTAAACTTCTTACTAAGAAGTAAATACAAAATTTAATCCGTAAATATGCTCAGAAAATACCTATTCTATCATATTCACGGATTAAATTTTGTATTTACTTCTTATAAAGAAGTTTATCCATTTTACAAAATACAAACGTTTGATGACTTTAGATTTTATGCACCATACTTATTAAATTAATCAACAATAGTAAAAATTTTAATTGGGCTACAAATGTTTCAAATTAATATAGTTGTCCAACAACCAAAAATTCGTTTAAAGTATAAAGCCCCATAGGGCCTGCGATTCCAGTCAGAGATATGACTATTACATTCTATCAAAGTTATGCTGAATTTTTGTCACAGGTTGTCACTAGTTGAACCTGTGACACCTTTTGATCTTCCTTGAGACTTTTAGCCTGTTTCATTTCTTTCATGATTACTGTCACTAGTATCATTAGTTAAAAGAGGGTATAATTAAAATTTACCTACATATAATATAGATTACTATGTGCTCGGTATAGCGTAACATACGTACAATGATACCTATATAGATACAGTTCTGGCGGAAAGTAATGATGGGACATGTTTTTTGTAGATATTTCGGGGAGGATTTATCCATAAGTCATGAAAATTTGTATGAAGATTTTTTAGGATGCTAGGAACAAGATTTGCTAAGATCATAAAGTATGCATGTTAATATAGTAATATTTTGCGTTATTTGGTGTCAAAGTTGGCGAACTGGGGGTTACCTTGGGGGTATTCCCCATTTAGATTAAAAACATTATTTCAAAATATTTTAAATAAGCAAGCATGAAATATTTTGTGAAAATATATTTGAAGTTATAAGAAATATATTTGCAAATTTTAAAAAATTTTTAGTTCATACTCATTGAATAAATGGCAGTCAAAAAAAGGCTTAATTTTGATGATTTTCTTAATGAATCATAGTAAATTATAATTTTTACTATGATTCATTAAGAAAATCATGATATTCCCGAAGGTGATAACACATACATGGAGTCATTCGATATGATATACCAAAAGATGATGTCTAAATGGAATATAAGCTATGGTCTGTCCAATAGAAGTCTAGATAGAGTAGAAATTATCAATTAAATGAGTCTTGTCTGAGTTTAATGCCTTAAATACTATGTAAAATGTCGAAAGTAGAAAAATACACCCCTTCCCCATGCCTCATCCCCAAAATGCATCGCAGATAATACAAATGATATTGCTCTCATAGTGTTTGAGAGGATTATTGTAATGCGTACTTAACACTGAATAGAACCGTAAACACTTCAGATCCATCAGTGTCACATCCATAATAAAGTGATTACATGTATAACATATACGTATATGTGAATTGATCGTTAATTCAGACTCATCTCTGGAGATCTGACTATGTGCTGGCATGTGAAACAACGTCCAAATACCGTTTCGCATGAGAGTGCATGAGACAGACTCTGGCAACTGGAACTATTACAGATCGAGGTAATGAGTCTGTATCAGCTTTCGTGTTAGAGCCAAAACTAGATATACAAGAGGAAATTGGGAAAAACATTCCACCAAGAGAGAGAAATTGGAGAAACATCCCCACTCACGCCATTTCAATCTGTGTAGAATAGAGCTACAGACTGATACATCAGATAGTGTATTTGTCAATAGATAAATCAGTCAGAGGGAACGCAGAGTAAACTCGTGTCAAGTAAACAGAGTAGATCAAATGGTCACTGGTTAGTCACTGAAAAGTTAGGAGTTAACTGGTTGATAGCCAATCAGCACTTTTTCTATAGTCAACGATCAATAGATCAGTGATAATATAATATTGTATAGAAAAAGTGAAGATCCTGCCACACCCAAATGTGGGTGGTTGCACTTATGAAATACTTAGTGGATCAGCAAATGATAAGTGAAAAATATGTGAGAGAGATTTTACTACTAGTGTAAATGATCCTATCATTGTATAAATTGTTGATCTTATTGAAATATAGATTTGTAGGGAAATAGTATATAAGGAGTGCCAGTTAGTATATCATCCAAATATCATGTTTGTATTTTCATTCTCAATTCTCTTAAATTCATTCAATCCATCCAGTTAATTGAAATCCAGTAGGAAATACAGAACTGGAATTGAAAAGTAAGTAGTAAATAGTAGATTCTGAGTAATATGTATCTAAATATGCGAGTTAGTAAGAAAATAGTAACTAATCGTAATAAATTGTTCATTGATTAATACTTAATTTATATAAATATAATAGATATCAAATAATTAATTCAGTAGTGATAGTTAGTTCAATTCACAGTCTGATATACACAGTGAATTAGACTTAGAATATAGTCATTATATAGTATCTGAATTGTCTTTAGTACTAAAATTAGAATATAATGTATTGTTTAGTATTGATATTAATAATTATTGTATATATGAGACTAGTTCATATGATAATGTAGAGCTTAAATCATGTATTAAATTGTGAAATACTGAATTAATTCATAATGAAATTATTAATAAGTTGTTAACTCATAAAGTAATTAGACTAATTGATGCTATTTTCAAGGAAAAGAAAATATTTGTATTGATATATTTTAGATAGGGAACAAGTATTATGTATTAGTATTGAAAAACTTCAGAGTTATATAGATGTCAGCAAGTGAAATCATTGGTTATTAAATAATATAGTGATATTATATAATTCAACATTTAATAATTGGTTGCATGCTATCAGGAGATATAAGTTATTGTACTTTGAGAATATATATAATAGGGAATATCATAATTTAAATGAATTAATGACTAATATGTTCTATGAAATATATAAGGAATAAACATGTTTCTAAGTAATATATATTTAAATATATAAGTCTAGTGTCATAATACCAGAGTGCTAGATATAATTTATACATTGAATATGGATTCTTTACAAGGTTATGCTAATTATTTTTCTCAATAAGTCTCTAAATTTTAATAAGATATTTGCTATAATGTCTAATATTGTAGACTCAAATAGAGTCATAGGTATATCAGATTCATCGGTGCCTATATTATATAATAACTCTATTCAATATAACTTGTCTACAATGTATAGTATATCATAAGGATAAAGTGTAATATATATATATATCATATATATACAAATGTGTACAACATATTGAACAAAGTAGTTAGCATCCACATGGATCCTATTATTAAAAGTATGATATGAATAGTGAAAGTGAACTATTAACAATGATTTATGACATGCACTATTTATTCAAAAAATAAACTTCTCCATATATTAGTAATTTATGACAGAACACATATAGATAATATCTACCAAAACTAGAACAACTTATATAAAAAGAATTGGAAAAAATATCCCATCAAAAGAGGGAAATTGAAAAAATATCCTCACCCATATCATTTTAATTCATATAGGATAGAGCTATAAATTAGTATATCAGATAGTGTATTTACTAATAAATAGATCAGTCAGAGAGAACACAGAGTGAATTCATATCAAATAAACAAAGTAGATCAAATGATTACTGGTTAGTCACTAAAAATTCAGGAGTTAACTAATTGATAGCCAATTAATACTTTTTCTATAATCAATAGATCAGTAATAATATAATATTACATAGAAAAAGTAGAGATTCTGTCATCTCTCCAAATATAGGTAATTGCATTTATAAAACACTTAGTGGATCAGCAAATAATAAGTAAAAAATATGTGAGGAAGATTCTGTTATTAGTGTAAATAAGAATGTTTATCTAAATTCTTTCAGAAAAATATTGTTATAATTTTGATGGATTATACACTAATTATTAATTAAAATTTTGATATAATTTCAATTATAACGAATTTCAAAATATGTCAAAATTTTGACAGATTATTTACTAATAGTTTATTATAATTTTGACAGAATTTTGACAGTCACTAAGAGATTTTGGCAAGCAATCTTAAGTGTA